ACCTTCATTATTCTACTGTATTGTGATCACAAGGTAGGAATACCTGATTGTGTCTGATTTCTTGCATGTATAAACAGTTAAAAATGCTGAATTCGATAGTGACCTAATACATAAAATTATAATAATATAATAACAAGTATTATAACAAAAGTTGTGTGATTAATCTTCTTTGTCAGCAATCACTGATCACAGTGTGGCCCTGTGGCTTCAAAGCTGAGGCTGAGAGATTTTATCTCGAGATGACCTTCAACATGCAGTAATAGTTTCTCTAATCTACTTCTCTATTACCTGCACTCAAAGTAACTTCAGTGCAATATAAATTTGTTTTATTGTTTGTTATTAGACTATGTGGACTTCAACACACACACACACAGTTTGGCACTTTGCTTAAACTGAGTGAAGTTGTGATTAACACTTAACTTTAAGTCTTCATATTTAGCATTTATAAGCAGTATACAAACTTTTAATAAATATTTGATAACACACTATGATGTAGCAAAGTGTTTAGTATTAAACAGTATTTGTCAGAAATTGAAAACATATTTTATATGTATAAGTGTTTAACTATATTGTATATCTGTTTTACAGCAGCCTCCACGTACAGGTTATATTATTGTCTGTTACAAACCATTTATTAAATGTTTATACGCTGTTTATAAATGCGAAATAGGATATTTCAGTGTATATTGTTGTTCTCCAGTAGCCTACCTTGTATTATAGTCTACAATATTATACTATAGTATACTATAGTATGTCAACCCATTTCCGTTCAGGCTGAAATATCTCAACGACAATTGGATGAAATTCCGTACAAACATTAATTTCACCCTCAGGATAAATTCTTATCACTTTAATCTCCTGATTTTTCATCAAGCACCTAAGTACTTCAGTTTATGAACAAATATCTGCATAAGTAGGTACGCTGAGTAAGTAAGTAAGCTAGTAAATGTTAGTATGCTTACACACTAATACTAATGTTAATGTTTAGCTCAAAGGACCACTGTGCCTATAAGCACCGCCTCACAGAGCCTCTCGCATGGCTGTAGACTATTAGTTTTGTTTACGTTTGCTAAAGTCTCCCTTGGAAATGAGATCTCAACCTCAATGAGACTGACCTGATCAAATAAAGGTTATAACAATATATCAATAACCTTTTTGACCTCCTGTTTATTGTTCTTGCAGGAGCTGTGAACTGACTATTGGTTGTAGACAACAGCACCATACAATTCCCTCTTTACTGTTAATTAAATACAGTGATTTGGGATTTATGAATACATTAACTGGAATAATGTATTCAGAATAAGGGAGGCGGTATGTAAAAAAGAGTATATTATTTTGACAAAAATCAAGTCTTACTATAACTCACCATGCTTTTACAGGAACTATCTCAAACGCAGACAGACTCCCTCCTGCGTACAGCTTCAATCATTTAAAACAACTAATTACCCCTCACATACACATCCACTGCAAGAGGACCGATTGGAGGCAGATGATCGGCCTGTGATCTTAGTGCCAGGCACAATGCTTACTGAGGCAATCGTTGAATGTGTCAGCTCTAATCTACATCCATGCCAAGATCCTATCACACTGTTAAACCCAGTTTCAGAATAAAACAGCCTCACAATCTATGTATGGAGTAAGTTGTTTGAATTTTAACTCACTTTATGATTTAATGTTTCTGATGTGGCCAAGACAGAAAACGTTTTGAACTCTGAAACTATGTTAAACATCTGTAAGTTCCAATACACAACCATAAACTAATTTAAACTAATTGAACATATACACACTTAAAGAAAGGGATTTAATTTCAGCTCAGTGTTTCAGCGTCTGGCGGTCCCTTCATTCGTGCTGCTGTGATGCCGCTCTTTCACAGTTCATACAACAGTAGGAGAGTCATTAAGTTAACATATGGGCTAATAACGTCTCCTGACAACAGGATTCAGCACACGTACACACACACGGTACAGTAAAACAGGGAGCAGACAGACACACACTTCCTGCTCTGCTCAAGGGATGGCTCCACTGCGTCTGCTGGTTATCTACCCTCTCTATCAGATCCATATGTACAAGTCCAATGTTACCCCTCGACTAGCCCCACTCCCAGGTCACAGAGTGATCTACTGTCTCCTACCCAAAAAATGGCTCGCCCCATGCAAGCAAATGCCAGACATCTTTAAGATAGTGTGTGAAATAGTGTTTGATTCCACTTTTACTACTTTATTCAGCCTCCACATCGCCATACCACTCTTACGTTTGTTTGCTAAATATGAAGCTCCAGGCTGGCTAAAAGCAGGGGGAAACCGCTAGCCTGGGTCTGTCCAAAGGTCCCCCCCTATAAATTGTCATTTTGGTTTTTGTGAGATATAACTAGCTTAATTAGTGAGAATGCTTTAGAGGTTATGGTAGACCGATTTCATTACCTTTGGAGTCAGGCTAATTGTTTCCCTGTCCAGCTGACCAGCAGCAAGCAGTAGTTATATATTTAGCATATACTCTAGATATGGGAGCGGTATTGATTTAACCCTCAGCAAGAAAGACAATACATGGATTTCCCAAACTGTCAATCTATTCCATTAAATAAGATTGGCCTTCATGAAGATAATCATATAAACATTGCTGCCAGATTCATACTGGTGACAAACATAAACCTGCTGTTAAACTGACATTTAGGCCAGTAGATGTTAGCCATTATGGAAATGCTCCGTCAGTCTCCCAGAAACCACAGCCCTGGGAGAAGACATCCCGCTGCTCCAAGCCTTGAAAGTGAGGTTTGATGGATAAAGTGTGCTGAAGCTTCTACCAATCCACCCCCTGTGTCCTGCACACATCAGTGAAACAGCTTTCATGTGAAGCCCAGAGGCCCAGCAGCTACCAGCAAAGATTAACCACACGATTTTGCTCCCTGAACTTCTGATGGTCCCAGAGGCTTACAGGAAAACATAGTCTTCTGTGGTTTAACCAGCCTCTGGTTGGCAGGACGCTGCGGCTCAGTGAATGAGTCGCTCTCCGTCGGACTGAACTGTGTCTCAGTCACTCCACTAAGTTGATGAACTGTCATGAAGTTTAAAAGCAGTAGTACTATTAGTAGAAAGGTTAGGAATGGTAGCAACACTGGTAAGTCTGTGTAACACAGCAGCAATATAAATGAATACCAAGGTCTGAACTTTAAATTACAGTATATGTATTCAAAGGCAGTTAAAAATAGTCCAGTTTTTAATATTGAAAGGTTTTAGAGGAATAGTAGCCAACAGAAATGAGCTTTTTTGTTTTTTTGTTTAACGTCCCATTAAACAAATGAGATATAACATGTTACCAGCTGCTGGCGTAGCGTAGTTCTGACCACAAAAATATGACAGTTGCACTAACTAACTATCTTGGCAAGAAAACGAGTTGGTGTGTTCCCCACTTACACTACAAAGAAATGACTATACAGTAAAAATATAACCGTCAATGAAAACACAGTATAGAATTAACATTTTTTATCTTTGATATGTTCATACATTAAAAACTATATATTTATATGTTATTTTTATATGTCACTGGGTTGATATATGGCCCATGTGTCGCTGTGAGTTTTTATTTACCTGTCTTTGGCGGTCAAGGAGTTTATGTAGTGTAATTATCAGGCCTAAAAGCAAAACAAGTATATGAAATGGTGAAATATTTCTTAATGAGCCTCCAACACCCCCACTGCATCTCTTCTTTCAAACTAGCTGCAGGTGATTTGAGGATAATTGAATCTTTATATGTGGTTTGTACAGAGTGTGCCCTGACACCTTTAGAGGCTAATCTTCTGCTTATATCCTGCTAATGGTTAGGTGTGTGTGTGCTGGTGCAATGCGTGAATGTGCATGTATCATGTGAAAGAGAAACCTTTTAGAAATGTAAGGGCAACGATAAAGACCAGAACGAATGGGAGTTGTCAGCGAGTAAGGATTGCTTCCAATAAACTATGAAACACACACACACACAGTCAAACGAATGTTATTGCACAAAATGCAAGGAGTGATCCAAGAATAAATTGCCTGTCTGTAACTATTTAAATGCGGCATTAAGTCATGATTTATGCCTGTAAATCTGGGATAGAAAACATGCTCCAAATGTTGCAGCTTGCAGCAATTTATGGGGGAAACCACCAAAATGAATATTTGACTAAATTCCCATTTTTAAATAAATGATCTTGGCTTCAAATTTGCTTAATGTTTCTGTTACACAGTCGTTGCATGAGGTGTATGAGCATGAACGCATGTGTGCACAGTTTGCAGTACCACTTACTTATACACATGCACAATACGTAGTCAGATACAGTAGATTAATATGTCATTGCCGCTGTTGACAGACTGCTCTTCAAATTGTAACTTTAAGTGCAGGATCTGATGTCCTGGCTCGGCCCCAAAACCGATAACTGCTTATTACTGCTAAGACTGAAAGGAATGCAGCCGTCATGTTTCTACTTGACTTAAAGTGGCATCTTTAGCAAGACTTCTCTTCTGGCAAAGAAACAAATAGAAAACTGAATATTTAACAGAAGACAATCAGCTGGAGACATCAGACTCCAAGTTAAACCTCATCGCACACTGTATTGA